CCCATGATAAGGAATTTGGATTTTATTCCAATTGGGTAGGTAGCCATTGGGAGATTTAGAATAGTTGGGTAGGTAGCCATTGGGAGATTTAGAATAGGAAGTCATATGGTTGGATTTTGCTTTAAAGGGATTTCTCTTTAAGACATTGCCTATAACATAATTTACAGGATAAGAATTGTATTTCTTAATTTATTCTTCCTTCCCCATTATGAACTCTATTTTAAATTCTCTTTAGAAAACTGAGGGGATGAGAAGAGTCTCTGGTAGTTGCCAGGACCATTTACTAGTTATTTGACCTTAGGTTAATTGCTTAATCTCTCTGAGCCTCAGTTCTCCTTTATAGAACTATAATAATAACACCTGCCTCTAAGGGTTATTAAATGGATTACATGAGATCATGTATATAAAACATCTGTCACAGCGCCTGGCCAAGTAAGGGCTCAATGATGTAAATCCTTTTTCGTCTTTTTCCCTTCCGTCGAGCCCGTATATGTCATTCTGCAGTCAAAGAGGGGTAAATGTAAAAGCTGGTCATTGGGTTAAAAAATCAACTGCAGAGTTACAGGCCAGGTAGGAAATTGTTCCACATAACATAACTGGGTGCTTTGGCTGTTATAAGAGCTAATACAATTTTAATTTAAATGAATAGAAGAATGCTTTCTCATTACAGGAATGATAAATGTATTTGTAGTCCTATTAGATAAGTATGTGGAGTTCTGGAAATAATTCTAGGTGCATTGATTCGAAAATACTATTAATAAAGAACACTCAAAAAGAATGAGCAATAGGAAATGGTTTGGGAACCATGTCATTTAGAAAATTCATTGGAAGTGTTTGGCTTGGGAAGAGAAGACTGGAAGGAAACAAAAACTGTACAAACATTTGAAGGGCTATCATCTGGAAGAATGAGAAGACACACCAAATAGGTGTAGCGGTGGGCCACCTTGGGACCGTGGGTGGAACATGCAGAGATAAGATATTTCCACAATTAAAGATCTCTATGATAGAAGAAATCAGATCTCAATCAATGCACATATTCTGAAAGAGATCGAGGTACCTCGAACAGCTTAACTATTGCATAAAAGTTTTTTTTCAGTGAAAGTACAGCCAAACTGAAAGACTTCTCACCATCCCTGTCTAATTTCTGATTCCATAGACCTACAGTGTATACTAACCAAACCTTGGAGATCAAGAGACCCTTCAGATACTAGGTACTTGCTCCTTCTCTTGGGCTCTTTGGTAAAAAGAAGATTGCAAACTACATGAATTCATGGTTCATCAAGAAGTAGAGAGATAAACAGAAATTTATCAGGGAGAAGAGGGGGGAAGGCCAGGAGGGAGTGGCTGAGATAAAAATAAAATAGGGTCATCTTATGTGAATTGAGTCAATTTCATGTCGCTGGAAAATGAATGATAATCAGGAGAGGAAGAAAAGGATGTGAGTAAGTGTTCATAGAAACCAGTCTCTAATTAAGCAACTGCCAACTGTCTATCTGTGTAGACTCCTATGCCTCGTCTCCAAAGGGGCCATAGTCAGTTGCATTTTTTTTTTTCATAACACGTAAACAGGAAAATACCAAGGCCACTGGGCACAGTGGCTCACACCTGTAATCCTAGCACTTTGGGAGGCTGAGGTGGATGGATTGCCTGAGCTCAGGAGTTTGAGACCAGCCTGAGCAAGATCGAAACCCCATCTCTTAAAAATTAGCTGAGCATTGGAGTGGTTGACTATGGTCCCAGCTACTTGGGAGGTTGAGGCAGGAGGACTGCTTGAGCCTAAGAGTTTGAGGTTGCTGTGAGCTATGATATCATAACACTCTACAGAGTGAGTCTTTGTCTCAAAAAAAAAAAAAAAACAAAAAAAAAACAAAGAAAAACTACCAGGGAATGCTGTTTATTTTTGGCTCTTCTTCTCATGAAAGCATAAGCCCAATGAGGATAGACTTTCTTGTCCACAGCTGTATCCTCATCCACAGAAAATACTCAACAAATGTTTATGGAAAGAAGGGGGTGGGGAATGTTCCTAAAGTGGAATGTGGCCGCATGAAATATTGGCAATGGGATTAGGTTCACTATGAAATCCTGAATACTCAAGGGATGTGTCTAACTGTACCTTCAAGGTAATATACATATTGCCCCAAATTCTGTCTCCCCCCCCCCCATGAAATTTCCTGTCCCATATTGTATTTGCTGTAAGAAGAATTATCCCCCAGAAAGCCAGAGTAAAGTAGTTCTCGTCTGTGGATGATGGACGAGCACTAGACCAATCGAGGCTCATAATGAACTTGCCGGCTCCGGAAGTCAAGGGGAGACTCTCAGAAAACGTGGGGAAGAAGTGGCAAAGAAAGGACAGAATGAAATTAGTAGGAAGAGGAAGGCAAAGGACCAAGGGGGGCAGGTCTTGTGTGCTAACAACTGCCATTATGCCCAAGAGATAATGTCCTGTGAGAAATGGGAATCAGCTGAGTCTCAGAGGCATGAGACCCTGAAAAGGACAAGTGTTGCAGAGGCTTTTACTGTTTCCGGTGGCAGTGCCACCAGGTTTGTGGACATAATGAAAGGTAGGCATTATTAAGCCTCTATGATGTCAGGCATTGTTGAGAACAGAAGGAAAAGTATCTTGCTTGCAACCTTGGATGACTGACAAGCCAACAGCTGTAGTCATGGGCAGACCCAGCTTTTCTGAGGACTGAAGCTTAGTTTTGGAGTTTTGTTTGGGGGGAGTTGCATAAAAAAAGAATATAAGGTTTTAAAATTTGAGATTAAGTACAGGGCCTTAAAAACAGACTGCGCTTTTAAGGACTGCTAAAATTTTCACTTCTTTGGTTTGTAGTAGAGCTATCTCTCTGACTATAGCAACAGGTCATCAATTAACTTAACATAAAAAGTGCCACAGTGGTGCCTCAAGAATGTTCATTTTGGAAATCAAGGGAAGGAAATGGATGGGACGGAGTTGAAGGCAGAAAGTTGGACAGTTCAAACTAATCCACATAATCGTGGTTTAATAATAGACCAGAACGCTGCTTCTAGATGAGTTCGTTTTTTATTCTCTTTTGCTAAAATTTCCCCCTTTTGTTAAAATAATTAGGAAATGTTTTATTTTGAGTGGAACAAAAACAAATACCTTGGATCTCCACACCGGCCTCTTCTGGGACGGAAGACTCGTTCTGAGCTTTGCAATCAGGGTGTTGTTGTTGCCTGGGTGATAAGCTCTGTGCTTCTGATTTAGAATAAAAATTCCTCCAAAATATTTTATAATCTGGTGATATTGGGCTTTGACTCGATCTGGTGGGTGGGGGTGAATGGGATTCCGAGGGATTCTCTCACTGTACTTCAGTGTCTCTTGTTTTCGATTGTGTGTCAGAGCCACTCGGGAAGCTTGCAAAACCCCCTTTCCTTGGGTATCACTCCCAGAAACTCTTAATGCAGGAAGACTGCTGTTAAGATTCTGAGGTGGTCAATTCCCACACAGCTCCTAGGTAAAACTCCTCTACTAACAACCTTGTTACACGTAGGAGGAATTCTCAGGAATGATGTTTACCAAAAGGGGAAATCAAGGCACAGGAAAGTGAGGGCAACATGTCTTAGGTCACCTATCAAGCACATTCTCCCGCCAGGAAGGCCTGCCAGAGGTCACCCATTGAGAACAGAGCATATTCCTTGAAGAGAGAACAGCCTAAGGAACGCCTAGATTTGGCAGGGGAGGTGGTGGTCACGGTGGAGTGGTGCGTGTTGAATTTAATAGACAAAGGAATTAAGATGAATAAAGTGGGCAGCAATTACTGAACACCAGAGACTTTTTAAAGGGACTTTGTGACTGTTGGCAAGACAAAAAAGAAAAAGAGGGGAATATATATATATATATATATATATGAGAATTTCGTAAGAATAGAGGGCCTAAGTGAATGGGGAGGCTACGTCACAAACAAGGAACAAAATTTGACGTCTGGAGGGGGAGGGAGGGATTTGCACAGTCCCCAGCAGATCTCAGGCCCTCAATCAATGTTTGCTGAAGGAATTTGCAAAGGAGGCCTAGTACTAATGTCGCCTCCATTTGATAACTACCATTTTCCTGGTTGCCTTGATCCTGGTGTGGGATGCGAGCCAGAATCCAACAAGCCGAAACAGACAAGGTGAGGTAATGCCAGAGAGGCCGGGCTCTGGTTAAGATGGTCAGGGACACCGGCCTAGTAGAAAAACCAGCCCGAGGTGGTGAAGGTGACTTCTTAGGGACACTTCCCCCATCAGCTGGGGTGTGAGTGGGGTGGGGTAGGGGAGGAGGAGATGTGCCCATGGGAGGGTGGGAGTGGAGGGGTGATTTCATCTATTTAGTGAAAAATGACCTGAATGTTTCTCTGAACCTGGAAACTCCCCATCCAACTGGGGCCAAGGCAAACAGGATTAGGTCTTATTTCTTCACTGATGGTTTTGCATCTGCTCAGAATGAGTTAAGAGGGAACAGAAAAATAATCTCCTCCCATTGTCTGTGCAGAGGAATGGGGAAGGCTCTGAATCACTTAATGGGTTAATATGACAGGTTGGTTCCCTGTAGACACTCTGCTTTTCTCCGGCTTCCTCTGCCATTTCTTCGGTATGTGTTCCCGGTAACAAAAAGTTGGCCCTATTAAATTCAGACAAGCCAGTCAGCCCCTCTGGCATTCTGTCTACTGACAAGCTACCGATTTCAAGTCTAATACTCCCTCTGACCTCCACAGGGGAACTGCTTTTGCCCTGAAGCATGAGGTTGTTAAAAGGAGTGGGCAACTACTGGTGTGTGATTTTCTATGGGGCCTATTGGGGTGGCAATCTGCAAGGTTTTTCCACTTAGGTTTGGGGAGATAGGTTTTTCCTCAAAGTCTGTTTTAGAATCGTCAAAGATGCACATGAAAAAAAAAAAAAAGAAAACATCACAGCAATCACTAGTTAACAGTCTCTTTGGTAAATCTGTCCAATCATTATCTTGGAGAACCACCTGTGAATAAATCCATGGGGCCATATTCTTTTTAATGCAATGTGTATTTATTGTAAACAATAATATACAAAAAAGAAAGAAAGGCAGAAAAAAAGGAAAAGTAAGTTTCACAGAGAGAACAAAAGGTTTGTGGGAGGGGGCAGAGCACAAGTGAAATAAAACACAAACACAAACCAAACCTTACCTAAAGACAAAATATGATTTCAATGCCAGGCTTCTTAAGTTACAGAAATATCTTTTTAAAAAGATCTGCTTTTATACAGAAACTGAAAGATGCCATATCATGAGTGCTTTAAGATTTTATTCTACTGACTTCTAAAACTGTTAATATATCTTTTTTAAATAAAAAAAAAAAAGTTTGCTGTCTTTTTTAAAAAGCAATCCTCAAACTCTCCAGCCACAGAAGTCATTAAGATTAAGGTCTGTCAGTGGGCTGACCCCCCTCTGGTATCCTCCCTCTCCAACAGAACAAGCAGGGGAATATCAGTGACACAGGCTTGCATTGTTTTGTGTCACAACACACACACACACACACACACACACACACACACACATTCAGGCAGCCCCAAAGGTCTGTGGCAGAAAACTGCAAATGACTCAGTGATACACTACATTTGCAATCTCTCATTTGTACAAAAAGAGAAACAAGTTTCCAGTTTGTTTTCAACAAAAATAACGAAGCAAAAAGAAAAAAAAAGACAGACAAAAAGGCATTTGTACAAATCTAGGACAAGGAATCCAAAGAAACTTGCTTTTAAAATAATAAAAAAAAAAAGATTAAAGAGATAAATAAAAAAAAAAACTGGTTACAGTTAAGAACATAATTTAACAACAGATGACCATACCCTTTGAGGAAGGCTCCAACAACCTATTTTAAAGAAAGTAAATTAAAAAAAAAAAAGGAAGATTTTATTTTTTAAGTGAAAACCTCTCCTTACAAAATAAATAATTTTAGCATGTGGAATGTCTTGAAGGTTAACTGCTGGTGTTCAGAGAGGCACAGGTGACAGTCTGAATGCACGAGCATCTGCATTCCACGTGGGGCCCGGGCAGGCAACCAGGGGCAGTGCACTGGGGCACTTATTGGCTGCTGAAATGTTCCCAAAACAGATTTCGTCTCCTTCGCTTGCCTTTTGCCTTTTTATTAAGACTGCAGCAATCAAGCAAAGGCAGGGATAGTGCGCTAAAAGAGAGCACAAGTACTTTTCAGCAGCATGATTTTAAGGCTCAAGGTGTTATTCTCCGTTTAAAAAATATATATACGATAAAGCTTACCAAATGCTTCTCTAGACTATTACTGTTTACCCCATATTGGCAAAATAAGGCCTTTCTTTTTCTATTAAGGCAGCTCCTCCTAGAATTGGAAAGACTGAGGAATTAAACAAAGATAACTCCCCAAATTGATCTCATAATACAATTCTGCTTTTCTTTTTTATGTTAATACAACAAAAGGTTTTTTTTTGTCTTTGTTTTTTTTTTTTCTTTTTTTGTAAGAGAAAGCAAATCTGTACAAAAATACTCTGGTTGCAAGGAAAGCTAGGGCACGCGCTGTTCAACTATGTTTAGCTGTTGGAAAAATAAGAGCATTTAATTTTTTTAATCTAAAAATATGTATAAATCCCCTCAAAATGGTAATGAATCATACACAGTACATACTAAAAATATTTAAAATAGAGAATATTCCTCACAGAGGACCTTTTTTTTAATTACTGCTAAAAAATAATTACAAAGTCCAAACAGGCAGAGAGATTGAGCAAAATTGATCACACGGTTCTCCATCGCCCTCCACGCTCGCTCTGAACAACATATTCAAGTCCAGTTTCTCCTCGATCCGGCGGGTCCGTCTCTCCCAGGGTGCCTCGGCCACTGCTTCCACAAGTTGGCAATGCGTTGGGTAGATAATGTTTCTGTCTTGGAATCTGGGTACGAGTTGCCTTTAGCTTAAGTGTCTCTAAGGAACAGGGGAAAAAAAAAAAGTCCAAAGGAAATTCTGGTTGATTTATTTCTTGGGTTATTTTTAAGATCATCTCGGCCGTCTTCGCCCTCTGCGGTCTCCTCAAGGTCTGGTGAGCTGTGTGTACACCGGTTGTTCCCAGTGCTGGGGGCTGTGGGTTTGCGGGATGGAAGGGACCCCAGAGGTGTCGGCGATGGGGGTGTACATGGGGCGCTGGGCGGGGTTCATGTAGGTGAAGGTGGAGTAGAGGCCGGAGCCCTGGCCGGCGGCGTGGCTGTAGTAGGATCCGGAGTTTTGGTGGTCAGTGTAGTCGTACTGAGAGCGGGTGATGGGCGGGTAAGACGGGCTGTAGTGCGGGAGGCTGAAGGGGCTGTAGGCGATCTGCTGCGGCGAGTGCTGCTGCTCGCTGTAGTGGCTGGGGCTCAGCTGCTCGGTCTTGATGTGCGTTCGCTGCGACTGGCCAGGCTCGCTGCTCAGCGTGGTCAGCGTGTGAGCCTGAGGCTGCTGCGGGGGCGCTGCCTGCTGCTGCGGGGGCGCTGCCTGTTGCTGCGGGGGCGCTTGTGGGGGCGCCGGCGGGGCCTGCTGGGGCTGCTGCGGGGGCGGGGGCGGCGCCTGTTGCTTGGACATCCACACGTGGCCCGCCCCCGCCGGGGTCGCCGCGGTGCTGCTGATGCCGTAGCTGCCAGAGTAGGTGACCTGGCCGTGCGTGGCCGGCACCCCTGGGTGCCCGTTGGGCGGCAGGTACTGATCAAATTCATTGACGTCGAAGGTCTCGATGTTGGAGATGACGTCGCTGCTCAGCTCGCCGATGTCCACGTCGCGGAAGTCAATGGGAGGCTGTCTGCCCCCCTCTGGCAGGGGGCGCCCCTCTCGCTTCAGGTCAGCCTTGCCCGGCTGCACGTCTGTTTTGGGGGTAGTGGGCGGGGTCGGTGGGCCCTGGGATTGCCCTGCAGGCAGTAAAAGAGGACAAAGCACCGGAAATCAACAAGAGTCACGCAAAGGCCCTAGGCTTAAGAACCCTCCTGGGACCCTCCCCCGCTAGTGGGTGTCTTAGGGACCCTATCCCTGGGCCAAGTAGGAGGCGCGCTGTGCTGGAGATAAGTTGCCAATGATTAACCTGCCAGTACACAACCGACAGGGGCCTTTTATCAGGGAGGGTCTGGGGCCCACGGGTCCGAATGACCAAATTGTTACCTGCAGAAGAGCTCAGTGTGTGCTTTGGGGGTGGAGAAAGAGAAAAAGGGGCAAGTCTTGTAAAGCTGTAAAGGCATTTTACTTCGCAATAAAAAATTAATCTGTTAGGATGCAGGGAATGCGTTGGGGGTGAGTGTGTATGTGTGTGAGCTCGTGCCCCTCGTGGGTCTCCGGGTAGGGAGGGGAGCCAGATTAGGCGCAGAAAGTAGTAGTAGTATTTCCCTCCCAGAGGAGCCCCAAATTCTAAAAGGAGAATGTCCTAGGTCAAAGCCTGAGGGTGTGCCAGGCATTTGGGGTGGGTGGGGGCACACTCACCCGAGTGTTCGCCAGGGGAGTGCACCTCGCTCATGCCCGAGGACGAGTGAGGCGAGTCGGCCTGCAGCGCCTTGAAGATGGCGTTGGGGGAGATGTGTGTCTGCTCCGTGGCCTCCTCGGCCTCCGCCTGCCCGTTCTTCACCGATTTCCTCCGTCGCGGCTGGTACTTGTAATCCGGGTGGTCCTTCTTGTGTTGCACGCGCAGCCGCTCCGCCTCCTCCACGAAGGGCCGCTTCTCGCTCTCGTTCAGAAGTCTGCGGGGAGGAGAGGGGGCGCAGAGTAAAAGAGGGAGCCGGTAAGTGAGACCCACAGAGCTGTCAGGGCCGCAGGGGGAGGAGGCGGGACCCTGGCCACTCCGCAGCCTACGCGCACCCCCCCACCCCCTCCAGCTTCCCAGTGGCTGCTGCAACTTGTAACTAATCTTAAAAAGAAAAGAAAAAAAGAAAGAAAGAAAGAAAAAAAAAAAACAGAAAAGGAAAAAGAGAGAGAGAAAAAAAACTCAGTTCTTGCATACAGACCTGAGCGGGTCACTCCCCGCTCCGCCCCCTCCCCTTTCCTTTTATTCTGGAAACCCCGCAGATGAAAATAGCTCCCCGCGGCTGCCGCTCTAAACGCCTTGCTACTGGAGTTATTTTCTCCCCACCCCAACACCCTTTAAAAACTTTCCCCCAAACTGCTTAAGTTGCAAGTCTCCTCGCGCCCCTTATGCCCCCCCCTTCCAGTTGTGTCCCACTCCCTCCCCTTCCTGCTAAGGTTCTCTTCCAGCCTGGATTTCTCCCCCACCCTCCATCGCATCTCCGTGGGTTTAGGGCTACAAGGGAGAGCTCAGATAGAAGGAGGGAGAGGCAAATCCACTGGTCCTCCTCCCCCAACTTCCAAGAGACCTGGCAGCCCTGACCTTCTGTCTCCTACAAGTCCTCTCCCACCCTCTGGCGATCTCCTCCACCCTTGCCACCCACCACCTCCTCCCCGTGTCCACTTGAACAATCCAAGAACTTTGTCAAACTCTGAGACAAAGTTACACCTCTTCTCCACATCCCCCCGCCCCCCACGCCCGAGCCTCCTCGGACCGCAATTCCCGGGCACACGAAGGCGGGGCGGGCACAGTGGGTCCTGGCCAGCGCCCAGCCGCCCCGCGCAGCCCACCCCCGCCGGGCCCTACCTCCAAAGCTTGCCCAGCGTCTTGCTGAGCTCGGCGTTGTGCAGGTGCGGGTACTGGTCCGCGAGCTTCCTGCGCGCCGCTTGCGCCCACACCATGAAGGCGTTCATGGGCCGTTTGACGTGCGGCTTGTTCTTGCTGGAGCCGTTGACGCGCACTGGCATGGGCACCAGCGTCCAGTCGTAGCCCTTGAGCACCTGGCTGACAGCCTCGCGGATGCACACGGGGAACTTGTCCTCCTCGCTCTCCTTCTTCAGATCGGGTTCGCCCTTGGGGAAAGTGTTCTCCTGAGGCCGCGTGTTCTCGGTGTCGGAGCCCGAGCCCGAAGGGCAAGGAGAGCCCGCCGAGTCTTCGGACATGGTGGGGCTGGGGGCGCCGGACAGGCCCTTCTCCTGCTCGTCGGTCATCTTCATGAAAGGGTCCAGGAGATTCATACGCGGGCCCGGGACAGGGGGCGGGTTGCCGGGAAAGGCGAGAAGCCGCTGCGGCTCGGGGACGCGAGGCGCGGGCTCCACTCCCCTCGGGTGCCCGGACGCGGAGCTAGCGGCTCCCGGGGCGGTTGGCGCGGCTGCTGGCTGCAGCGACGAACACTTAGGAAGGCACCGGGTGGCCAGTCCGCAGCTGCCCGCTCCAAATGGGGGAAGGCGAATTGGAGAGTTGAAGGAGGAGGGGAAGAAAAAGAGCAAAAGTGTGGGCGCTTGCACCCCTTCTCTTCGCCTCGCTCAAAGAAAAGCTCCCGCGGTCAAACTAGCAAGTCTCCGCGCCACCGAAGTTCCCACTCACTTTTGAGCTCCGCTCTCGGCTCTCCAACTCCCAGCGCCCGGTCTCTTTAATAAATACTCCCCCTCACCTTAGAGCTCTCAGCCAATCGCAGCGCCGCAGGCTCGGCTTGGCAGGCAGCTGATTGGACTGGATTTTGGGGAGGAGGATTGTGGCGCTGGGCTGGGTAAGAGGTTGGAGGGAGGAGAAGGGAGGGGACTGCAGCCAAAGGGTGGATGGTCTGGTGCGGGGGTGGGGTGGGGGGTGTTGCGGGAAAGGCGGGGGACACCGGGACGCCCAAGTGTGTAAGTTTGCCGCACTCTCCGAATGTCAGAATTTTGGTGCTGTATTCGCGCGAATCGTGCGCGTGTGTGTGTGTGTGTGTGTGTCTAGACTAAGATCTACCCACCCCCCACATTTCTTTTCACTGCTCTCTCCGCGGTACTGGGGACTTAGCTAGAGTTTGCAGTATTCGAAAAGCAGCCTTGCCTTGCAGCGTAACCTAGTTTAGGCTCCCAGAGCCTGCCTGCCTCTCAGAGTGCTTGGAAAGTCTTTTGAAGCAAATGTTTTGGTGACTCAACGCCCGCTGTTCTTCCTCCGTAATAATCCACATAAATAGATTAACATGCTCTGGTTCGCCAGGGCTGGTGCGTCTGGTCAGGACTCTGTTGCGCTTTTGCCAAGGGAATCAATGAAAACCAAAACTAAGTAAGTCCGGGCGAAGGCTGGCGGCAGCTATGGCAGCGGCGACACAGTAGCCCCGCGCTCTCGGGACTGTCCCGCACCGCACCGAACTTGAACTCTGACAAGTCCTTCTATTTCCCCTCCCTGACCCCCAATCCGTCCGACGTTCCTTAGTGGCAGGGCTGCCGCTTGGACGTTCAGCTCTTCGACTCCTGGCCGATTCAAAAATCGTCAGCAGCGATGCGGCTGGGGAAAAGTTTGCAAACTGCTCTGGTTTTAAGAGATGCAAGTTTGCAAAAGCAGCAGCGAGGCCGAGGCCGAGACCGGTCACTGGGTTTATGAAAGGCCAGACAAAAGCAGTCCACCCTGGCGGCACGGTTTCTTCTTTAGAAAACACCTGGAAGGGTGAATCGTCCGTGGTTCCAACTTTAGTCCCGTCCTTTGAGACCCGCACACAGTTGTGAGTGCTGGGGAAGGTGGTGGAGGTGCCTCTGATGTATTTCAAGTATTTCAAGTGTGATTTGAACACAACCTTTATGTTTAAACGAACTCCTTAGAGCCAGGTTGGGTAAGTGCAGAGTTATCTGTCCTGTAACAGAAAAAACAGCTTCGTCGCCTGCCTTCAGAATCACTAGTTTGCTCACAACTGTGGAATACTCTTCATTTTAAACTCCCCTCTTTTGGGCTTTTGCAAAAGTTTGCCTCAAATTAAATTATTCTCATGAACTGGCCCACATCTTATTAAAAAATTGTTTTTTTTTGTTTCTAATTTGCAAAGTACAGACAGTATTACAAGATTCATATTCATATTTTTCTTGAAGATTTTTTAAAATTTTGTTTTTTTCTCCAAAGAAGCCGACATTTCTTATAGGAAACAGAACCCTTCATAGAGTAGTAAGTTACAACCCTGTTCGACAGTATTTTCTTTTTAAACGAATATAAACTCTCTCGGATGAGATGTCTCCAGTACGCTATGGCTTGTTCACAAGTTTAAGAGGCCTCCATACAATAGCTTCTTATTCACAGCTGGCTCTGTGATAACTCTCAGAAAGTGTAAAAAATAACACCGTCTTTTTTTGGGGGAAAACATCTCGCTTAGTGTGGACCCATTTCTGTGTCTTGGGTAGGGGGCATTGTGTGTGATTCTAGACACCTGATCAGGAGACTCAGAGATCATCGGGCAGATGTTTTAACCAGGGCGTCTGTATTTAGTTGCATTTTATTGTAATTGCCATGCAGTGAAGAAAACTGACTGTAAGATAATTTTGGAATATTCCACTAAATATTTGTCAAGATATATACATACGTGTATGAATATATTTAATACATTTACGAAATAAGATATGTATAATTTAAATAGCATTCTACAGTTTTTTGTAATTCTCTGCTCATTTAATGCAAGCATTTTGTATTTTTGCGTCTTTTTTAAAAAACGTGGGGTAACAGTCAGTCTGCTTAAAAATGGGCTGCAATTTTCGTGTTTATCCAGAGGGGGCGCCAAAAGCCCAGAAACTGTCTCTAACTTAACGACTGCAGGAAAACTTCGGTGGTAGCTGCGGGGGGATGGTGTGCTCTACTCAATCAGGACTGGTTTGCTGTTGAGATTTCTCTCTGCAGGAATAGGAATTCCTACGTGATATTCCCTCCTGTGCGGGTCCACTTCTGGGCAACTCAGGAGAATTTGTGTCCATATGGAACGGGATAAAAAAAAGAGCACAGGAGATGTCTGATGTTTCTGTTTTGCGCAGAGCTGGGAGACGAGGCCGGGAGAAGGGCCCTGATCCCCATGATGCCAAGCATTGCCGGGCGAGCCAAACTCAGGCCAAGTGTAGCGTGTGGGTACCGTCGACTCGCGAGTGGGTTGGTCCTGTGTTTTTGTAGGGGCATCCCGGTGTTCAGTTCCCCATCCCTACTCAGGGGCTCGGTTCCCTTCCTTGTGGTTTCCAGGGTCGCCCCGACTCCTCCTCCCTGACCCTGGGAAGACACTCTCAGTCCCGACCCACGGGACCTCAAACAGAGGTAGAGAGAAAGGAACCCGCTCCCATTGTTCAGGTTACAAATCTGGAAACTGAGGCCCAATTTTAGCCAAGTGCTAAACGCCGTGGGCTGGGTCCCAATCAGATGCGGTGAGGGAGGGAAAGGGCAGAACAGAGGGACAGGACCGTCAGGAACAGAGGTGGGCTAGGACCGCACTGCACAATGTTGGCGCACCCGCTCTTTCAGGTACCAGCTCTTGAGCCAGAGCTGCGAGGTCTGCCGCTGGGAGGGTAGACACTGACGTGCGACAGGATCCCAAGGGGGGGACCTCGGGAAACTGAGGTCGGCTCCCCCTGGTTCTCGCTCTCGCACGTCCCGGCCGGCGCCGGACTTAATTTCCCCAGCATCTACTCGGGAGCGGAGACCAGAGCCCAGAGCGGCTGGCAGCGGGGCGAGTTTCGCGGGCTCTCCGGGGCAGTGCGGGCGGGAGGGAGTGGGGAGGTTTGAATCTCCGGGGTAGGGGTGAGGCATGCAGGCAAGTGGGGTTCTCTTCACCCGGGGCATTAAAAATCAGGACTGCCCTATCCAAAATTCCGAATCAGAAGTGGGTACGGTGTGTAATTCAATTTTCAGTAGGTGCGCGTGTCCTAGGAAGAGTGTCCGCCCTGGGCGATGTTATCTATAGAGGAGATAGGAGAAGGGGGTACCCCCTCTCTCTTCCAGTTCCCCCGCCAGGCCCCCTTGCGGTAAACACCCCAGCCTCTGGGCGGGACAGGTCCTCGTGTCCTGGGCTCTCAGCACTTGTGGGTAATTAGTACTTTTCACTGGGCACAGAATGTTTATCGTTGTTCCCTCACGCCCGATACAAGTTCTTTTTTTTTGGTGGGGGGAGCGGTTTTGGAAGGGAACTGGCAGATAAGCCGGGACAAGGTTGGGCTGGACCGCAACTGCTACAGCGAAAAGAAAAGTAGCAAATAGATTCGTGGGTGCACAGTAAATATCTGTTGACTGAGCGAATGAACGTGACCTTCGGACGTTCTGCCCCGGTGTGTGTGTCCGATTCCAACCGCCAGACCTCCCGGCCACGCCAACAGCACGTTCTGAAAACGCCTGCGAATGGACGTTCCTATACTCGTGCTTCTCCCCAAGCGGGAGCCTGACTTTGGCGAGTTGTCCGACACGTTTGTCACTAAGGACCCCGCCCCCTTTAAAACTGTAGGCCGAGAAGGGGCATTTCAATTTCCTTCCCTTTTCTATTTTGGAAGAGAAAGATGAGATGGGCAAGAGGGGTCGGGTTGAGGGGGCATGAACCACCATTCTGCTCCCAGGTGACCTGGCAGGGTTTGGGGGCGTCAGGGGGCTGTTACTCCGCGGGGTAAGGACCCCAGCCAATGCAAAAGACTGGATAGGCTGACTTGTCCTGAGTTTCTCAGCTGTTGAGGGACAAAGGGGGG